TGGGTTATGTCGGTTTTATAATCCATGCCAGGTAGAAGACGAGTTTCATTTTATTCTAATCTGTCCATTATCTGTAGATATTCATAAAAAGTTAATTACAAAGTATCATTGGAACCACCTTCATATAAAATTGTCTGGCAGCTATCTGTACGTAACAGAAGGGATCTTAGTTACTTAGGAAAGTATCTACAGCAGAGTTTATTTGTACGGTTTAGATTACAACTTTAACTTATTGTATGTTATATATATTGTAACCGTTAATCCGCTGACTACAACACTCTATACATATGCATGCCCTGTTTGAGCCTTTATTTGATAATGTTGATGGTAAATGTTGTCACTGCACTTTATGATTATAGTCTAGCCTATGTATTCCTATATAAAGTCAATGTACATTAAGATAAAGTAACCAAGAGTTGTCCATCTTGCGTTCATTTGTCTACCTTGTACATGATATTGACAGAGTATCTATACTAACGACGTCCAATATCATGATTTATACATGATGACATTATGTCTGTGTATTTCATATTACTTATGTATCAATTATATGTTGTTATGGATGCTTATGAGCTGTAAGGCTTCAAGTTAAATAAACACTGAAACTGTCAAGCACAGGGTAGCTTCTATGCACATCCTTTCTGTGGTTTCAGTAAAACAGACATTGTTGACTATCTAAACAAGGCTGCAAGACTTTTTTCTCTGACACGACTAAGTGCTTGGTGAATCAACTTAGTACTGATCGCCTTCAGTTTTACTTAAACTTTTCCTGTTTAGTATAAGAAAGCAATTGCTAAAATACGATTGTCTTCACACAATCTTTTAATGGAATCTGGAAGACAGTAAAAAATATCATAATTTAAGGCTTTGTCCTTTCTGTGAAAATGATTTAGAAGCGATTTTCACTTACTTCTATGATGCCCCTCTTCCAATGAACAAAGAAATAAATATATCAGTCATAATATCGTTTAATCCCATGTCTAAAAAATAATGTTTTTATCAACTGGTAATATCAAAGAATTACTGAACCTGGGTAAAGTCGTATACCATGCTTGTTTGCTAAGATCTATTTTGTTTTATATCTATATTGTAGTTTTCCTGTCATGATTGTATGTTGAAGCCTATGCTAATTTAGATTGTACAATGTAGGCTAGTATATTTACCGTTAAGATAAGGAGTAATCTGACAAAATTGCAAAAGAATTACTTAGCGCGTATTTTGTTATCTATAATACAATGCTTGAATGCACAAAAAAGTGCCAACGAGTTAGAGAAGGGGAAAAGGTGAAAAATCGTGTCCAAAGACGACACCGTCCACTGAGCAATACAGATTTTCGGGTAAAAAAATAGCACAAAATATAATTGAAGATTAACATGTTCTTTATTTTTCATGATTAAAACATGTAACTGGACAAGCCTAATGATTTGGTATTTACCTCTGTATCGACAGATGCATATGATTAAGATAAAATAGAAAAATACGGTAAAAAAGAAACTGTCAGGATATTTAGTAAGCATTAAGAAAGACTTGTAGCACGGACTTATATACACATATATATGTGTACATAAGTCCGAGCTTGTAGTAATTAACTGGTAGTGTCAACGCCGAGGCGGATGCTATCCGGATATAATACTGATGTTACCATTAATGTGTTTCTAGTTATGATACATTTTGTATCTGTGGCACGTAAGAAATAATATTGTATGAATGAGTTTGTCTGCCGAAATGAGAGTCCTCCTGCATGGGTAACAATTGTTTGTCTTTTCATGTTTTTTGAAGAAGAAAAATTCTCTCAAACAACAGTCTGAAATTACTTGAAAATAATTGAAAATATATTGTTAAACGTATATAAAAAATAACTGCCCTTGAGTTAACATTTTTATGCGTGAAGTGCTTAGTCTAACACGTACCGGTAAAAATTCAGCAAATCAGACATACAAGTTTACGTGTTGATGAGGTCTTCTATGTTACACATAGGAGGATATACCCTAAATACTCTATTCTAAGGCCGAACACATTCGGGGAATCAAACATGAGACCGTTATACCGCCTTTCATCTTATTCTACATCCATGAAGGTTCTGATATTTGTTTCTATGGCTACATTCGCTAGAGTGGTTTGCTTTTAAAACAATGTCGTTATCTTGACTCGTACACGTCAAGAAAGCAGAAAATTTCATTTAAATGAATTTACAGGAATATATAGAAGACTTAAAACATTATCGCCGTCTTGTATCGCGTGTTGTACGCTGTTGACAAGTCATAACGCCCACACACTGAGAACAATCAGATGGTCTCGCAGCGATCACGAGTCTGCGCGACTCTATATTTAGTGCCGGTAGCGATATAACTGCGATTTTGATCACTCCCATCTGGACACCACTGGATAGATTTAACATGTCAATCTATTTATAGAACATGAGGAAAGGGGAGGGGGCAAGAAAAATGATACTGATGGTGGTGAGGACAGAGGAGGGATTTAGGTAAATAATGATGATAACATGATGGTGGTGAGGACAGAGGAGGGAGCTAGGTAAATAATGATGATAACATGACGGTAGTGAGGACAGAGGAGGGAGCTAGGTAAATAATGATGATAACATGACGGTGGTGAGGACAGAGGAGGGAGCTAGGTAAATAATGATGATAACATGATGGTGGTGAGGACAGAGGAGGGGGGCTAGGTAAATAATGATGATAACATGACGGTGGTGAGGACAGAGGAGGGAGCTAGGTAAATAATGATGATAACATGACGGTGGTGAGGACAGAGGAGGGAGCTAGGTAAATAATGATAACATGACGGTGGTGAGGACAGAGGAGGGAGCTAGGTAAATAATGATGATAACATGACGGTGGTGAGGACAGAGGAGGGAGCTAGGTAAATAATGATGATAACATGACGGTGGTGAGGACAGAGGAGGGAGCTAGGTAAATAATGATGATAACATGACGGTGGTGAGGACAGAGGAGGGAGCTAGGTAAATAATGATGATAACATGACGGTGGTGAGGACAGAGGAGGGGCTAGGTAAATAATGATGATAACATGACGGTGGTGAGGACAGAGGAGGGAGCTAGGTAAATAATGATGATATCATGACGGTGGTGAGGACAGAGGAGGGGCTAGGTAAATAATGATGATAACATGATGGTGGTGAGGACAGAGGAGGGGCTAGGTAAATAATGATGATAACATGACGGTGGTGAGGACAGAGGAGGGGCTAGGTAAATAATGATGATAACATGATTGGGGTGAGGACAGAGGAGGGAGCTAGGTTAATAATGATGATAACATGATTGGGGTGAGGACAGAGGAGGGAGCTAGGTAAATAATGATGATAACATGACGGTGGTGAGGACAGAGGAGGGGCTAGGTAAATAATGATGATAACATGACGGTGGTGAGGACAGAGGAGGGAGCATGTGTTTTATACACGACAAATAAAACATCATTCTCGTTTGATTAGAATTATTTAATACATTAAAAAACACATCCTTGGCTTGTTTATAATATAAGTATTTTATACAGGACAAAATATATCCCTGGTTTGTTTATGATATAAGTGTTTAATACAGGACAAAATATACCCCTGGCTTGTTTATAATATAAGTATTTTATACAGGACAAAACACATCCCTGGCTTGTTTATAATATAAGTATTTTATACAGGACAAAACACATCCCTGGCTTGTTTATAATATAAGTATTTTATACAGGACAAAACATATCCCTGGCTTGTTTATAATATAAGTATTTTATACAGGACAAAACATATCCCTGGCTTGTTTATAATATAAGTATTTTATACAGGACAAAACACATCCCTGGCTTGTTTATAATATAAGTATTTTATACAGGACAAAACATATCCCTGGTTTGTTTATGATATAAGTGTTTAATACAGGACAAAATATATCCCTGGTTTGTTTATAATGTAAGTATTTTATACAGGACAAAACATATCCCTGGCTTGTTTATAATAGAAGTATTTTATACAGGACAAAACATATCCCTGGCTTGTTTATGATATAAGTATTTTATACAGGACAAAACATATCCCTTGCTTGTTTATAATATAAGTATTTTATACAGGACAAAACACATCCTTGGCTTGTTTATAATAGAAGTATTTTATACAGGACAAAACATATCCCTAGCTTGTTTATAATAGAAGTATTTTATACAGGACAAAATATATCACTGTTTTTTTTAAATTGTATTATATTACACTGATTTGGTTTTTTTGTAGTTGTTTTTCGAAATTTTGAAATTCTGAGAGTTTATATGTACTGCACGCGTCATTTTATTTACGTATATACAGTTAAGTCCGTGACCTATGAGTAGCTTGTGTACGGAAACACGTTTTGTGTGTGTAGGCATGTGTGGTAGGAAGTGGAGGGCCACTGGTATACAGGTAGGTTTCGCAATCTGGGACGGGTATTTACTTAATATATCATCACAAGGTAATAAAAAAATCTTTGTGGGCAGCACCATTGTTAGATATTATCTTTGATTATGAAATACACATAAGCATATCAGGAATGTATTATATAATACATGCGAGTTACCTCCCCTCTAACCTACATGTATGTACGTATACAAATATAGATTTATTACACTATAGGGCCTAGCAACACATTTACCTAAGTAAAACTAAGGCTAGTTCGGGAAGATAAGTACAGAAATTAGATGATTTTATTCATTGACAAGGCGTTGTATGTATACACGACAGCTGTCATTGATAAATCGACCTGCAGACTTTCCTTGTGCTTTCTGTGAATCGATCGGAATGTGCGCTAGTCTGTAATCAGGCGTGGGCGGGCTGTGCGTGGTATAAGTTCTGCTTGGCCAGTGAGCTGTTGACGTCACACTTGTGCTATATTTAGTCACACGAGAGTGTTGACACATTTCTCCCACACGTCAGTCAGGCTGACTTTCGTCATCATTTGTAAGAACAGCTTAACATACAGTTAACGTGTAGAATGGTATCAGAACGAACACAGCGTCCACAAGGAGAACACCTATAGATAGTGTACACACACTCAAACTTGGATACCGACTGCCAGGAAAAAACATGGCTCTAAATCACCACAACCGTCACTTTCATAATTTCTTGAAAAACAAAGCACATCCATATTTTTCGAAAAAGGACCGGACGTCAATGAGTGCGAATATTACTCCCGAGTCGAATGTTTTGCAGAGTCTTAGTAAGCTCCTGATGGGATGCCGATCTCTGTACGCTACTTCTGCTGGTTACTATTCACCTATGGACAGTCAAACTTTTAAAGCTAAGACGGTACCAACACCGCCACAGAAAAATGACATGTGGATATTCCGAATGTCAATGCAGGGATTTAAAGCCGAAAATGTAAAGATTTCTGTTCAAGAAACTACGGTACTGGTCCAGGCCAAATTTGACCACGATCAGGGAAACAGTGACAAAATTTACGGTATGACCAGGACTATTGCTATTCCGGACACGGTGGTCAGGGAAAATGTCGTTGGATATTTAGATGAACAGCAAGTCCTGATAATAGAAGCACCCTATAAGGACAGGAAATGTCAAAAGGATCAGGTTGTTCCAGGACTTCGTAGAGCATCTAGTAGTGATGTAGACGACGAAGAACTATTTCCCCGTCCTAACTCCGTCTTCAGCAGTGAATGCGAGGAACATAAACAACAACCCATAGATAGTGACCTTCTCTCAGAGAACAGCAACGATTCCTTCAGTAGCGTAAGCAGTAAAATTAACAACGAGTACAAAGACTGTGGCCGTACAGACAACATGGACCACGACGATAAGTCAAAGGGTAGCAACTTTCGTCTCAATATCAACATGCAGAACGTGCCATCAAAATACATCGAAGTTTCCACCAAAGGACGAAAACTTATAGTGAGATGTACGATTCATCGACAGCTATCGGGAATAAGTCTAAAAGAGTCGTACTCCACGGAATACGCCCTACCCACAAATGTGGATATGGACGGTTTAAGGTGTGTCCGATCGGAGCAAGGAGTTCTCACAGTAACTGCACCATGTCTGAAGTTAAGTACGAAGGAAAGGCGGATAGAGATAATAGAGGAGAACTGTTGTTGACCGCCTGTGGTGTGTGTGGTATACCATTAGGGTATGTGTGTAGGACTTAATGGGGTCAGTAAGTAAACTGTAGTGTTCGTGATCGAAAGCATATCAAATCGGTGACGTACTTGATGCTATTTTTGGACGTATGGCGTGCTTATTCGTTGAAATCTGTATAAGAAACAGTCATATTTTATTTCCAGGTAAAACTATCATTTGTTATAGTTATTACGATAACATTGACATGACATTCGCCAATTTCTCCACTCAGGTATAACAGGTGTGCTTTGGTCACGTCTGTCTGATTTAGTGATGTTATATATAATTTATAGGTTAAACGAAATCCGCTGATCTGGCCAGTACAGCTATGTCTGCTCGCTCACAATCAGCCGGTCAGTTATCTGTTGACGTTGTTAATGAAGTGATATTTTAACCCGGTCAGTAAACTTTGTTTGATAGTTATAGATGTGGTTAGATCAGTACATGAGTTCCACTGATGAACACGTATTTATCCAGTCAGTATCTGTGTACTACTGATGAACACGTGTTTATCCTGTCAGTATCTGTGTACTACTGATGAACACGTATTTATCCTGTCAGTATCTGTGTACTACTGATGAACACGTATTTATTCTGTCAGTATCTGTATACTACTGATGAACACGTATTTATCCAGTCAGTATCTGTGTACTACTGATGAACACGTATTTATTCTGCCAGTATCTGTATACTACTGATGAACACGTATTTATCCAGTCAGTATCTGTGTACTACTGATGAACACGTATTTATCCAGTCAGTATCTGTACTACTGATGAACATGTATTTATCAGACCTGTATTTATGTTCTGTTGATAAATAGGTATGGATTCGGTCAGTATTATGTTGATAGACATGGGTGAACACATATTTATTGCATTTTTCCAGTGAAATATAGATATATCCCATTGATAAAAGTGTTATTTTTCACTAATGAAAATTTCACTATTTTTGTTATTTTTTCACTCGTGAAAGATACCAAAACATTAGACACACTTGGGAAATGTATTTGTTATTACTGATTACCATGTATCTAATATCTTTTGTACCTCTCACTCGTCCTGTACACTCGTGAAAGATAAAACAAATATTAGATATACTTGTGAAATATATTTGTTATTACTGAAGACACTTTTAAATATCCTGTATTTAAATGGCCAGTATTGTACTAACACGCTTTTATCCGCTCAGTATCAATGTTCTATTTACAGACACGTATGAGTTTGTACTTAGCCGGTAAGAATCTGTGTTCTTCTCATTGACACGTACTTACCTGGTCAGTACATAATCATTATTTTGTTGCATTGTGTTGTTTACAAATCTGTACTTTAATCCCTATTGTGTAATTTATTGGAATGAAGTACTTGTAAGCATATAAATATTTTTCTTACATGATACGCGTAACTTTCCTACCAGTGGTATTGCCGAGTCCATCACACGCGTAACTTTCCTACCAGTGGTATTGCCGAGTCAATTATTGCCGAGTCCATGATACGCGTAACTTTTCCTATCGGTGGTATTGCCGAGTCCATTATTGCCGAGTCCATCATACGCGTAACTTTCCTACCAGTGGTATTGCCGAGTCCATCACACGCGTAACTTTCCTACCAGTGGTATTGCCGAGTCCATTATTGCCGAGTCCATGATACGCGTAACTTTCCTACCAGTGGTATTGCCGAGTCCATGATACGCGTAACTTTCCTACCAGTGATATTGCCAAGTCCATTATTGCCGAGTCCATGATACGCGTAACTTTTCCTACCGGTGAAATTGCCAAGTCCATGATTCACGTAACTTTCCTACCAGTGATATTGCCGAGTCCATGATATGATATGGTGCTAGGTGTCTATGTACCCGAACTATACTACCTTGCAATGTGTAACTGTGGATGTTAATATTGGGTCATACTAATTGATCACGTTTATTTATTGTTAATATTGTATGTGTTTAATGAGTGGTGATTTAGTGGTGAGGTTGTGTATCTTGTCATATCACGTGATATCATTGTTAACATTGTGTCCGTGTATTAAAAAATCATTCGCTAGATCATGTGATGTAGTGAGCGGTATTTAGTATTGAGATTGTGTATGTTTGTAATGAGTGGTATCGTAAAGCAATAATGTTATAAAGTGTCTGCTGATAGTCACACGATAGTGTCCACGTGACAGTTGTATTGGACACGAATCAGGAAAACATGACCTTTGGTCAAAAGTTGTTGTAAAGATATTTTTGTTCATTTTGTGAAATTAAAAACAACCTAACACTTGAAGCAAAATGGAATGGTATTGTTTTGTTACTGGTGTATCCCGTGATAGTTACCGCATGCGCTGTCAAGGCTCTGGAGTATCCCGTGATAGTTACCGCATGCGCTGTCAAGGCTCTGGAATAACCCAAGATAGTTACCGCATGCGCTGTCAAGGCACTGGCGTAACCCAAGATAGTTACCGCATGCGCTGTCAAGGCTCTGTAGTATCCCATAATAGTTACCGCATGCGCTGTCAAGGCTCTGGAGTATCCCGTGATAGTTACCGCATGCGCTGTCAAGGCTCTGGAATAACCCAAGATAGTTACCGCATGCGCTGTCAAGACTTTGGAGTAACCCATGATATTTACCACATGCGCTGTCAAGGCTCTGTAGTATCCCGTGATAGTTACCGCATGCGCTGTCAAGGCTTTGGAGTATCCCGTGATAGTTACCGCATACGCTGTCAAGGCTTTGGAGTATCCCATGATATTTACCACATGCGCTCTTAAGGCTCTGGAGCATCCCCAGATAGTTACCGCATGCGCTGTCAAGGCTCTGGAGTATCCCAAGATAGTTACCGCATGCGCTGTCAAGACTTTGGAGTAACCCATGATATTTACCACATGCGGTGTCAAGGCTCTGTAGTATCCCGTGATAGTTACCGCATGCGCTGTCAAGGCTTTGGAGTATCCCGTGATAGTTACCGCATACGCTGTCAAGGCTTTGGAGTATCCCATGATATTTACCACATGCGCTGTCAAGGCTCTGTAGTATCCCGTGATAGTTACCGCATGCGCTGTCAAGGCTTTGGAGTATCCCGTGATAGTTACCGCATACGCTGTCAAGGCTTTGGAGTATCCCATGATATTTACCACATGCGCTGTCAAGGCTCTGTAGTATCCCGTGATAGTTACCGCATGCGCTGTCAAGGCTCTGGAGTATCCCGTGATAGTTACCGCATGCGCTGTCAAGGCTCTGGAATAACCTAAGATAGTTACCGCATGCGCTGTCAAGGCTCTGGAATAACCCAAGATATTTACCGCATGCGCTGTCAAGGCTCTGGAATAACCCAAGATAGTTACCGCATGCGCTGACAAAGCTGTGGATTACATAGTGATAGTTACCTCAAAACAGTTTCAAGGCTCTGTCGAGTATCCCATGATTTAAAAGAGCAGACGATAAGATACCCTGGACGACGAATCTTTGGAGAAATTTAAACAATCGCTTAATTTTATGTTATTATTTCTTTAATGATTAGATTCAGTTTTCATAATATTTTTATTATCATTTCAGTATAATCGTTTTCTGTAGGAAAACCAGATCGATAAATTCTAGCCGTTTGTAGTGTTATTGAAAGAGAACTTTATTTACACGATTCTCATTATATCACTCTATCCTTTTGTTAACTAAAGTAACCTCAATAGACTGTAGAATAAATTTGTTAATACAATACAAAGAACAAGACAAAACACTTATATATCATAATTCATGAATTTCAGCATATTTATGTTTCGTCGGTTTGGTAATGATCATTGTCCGCGAGATTTATCAAATATAATATTTTCATTTGTTGATATCAGCTACGAGTAACGCCTTTTCTACCAACACTACAAGCCAGAGATGGCGAAAGTGGAATACCATATGGTCTGCCGGCGTTTACTTTATTGACATCACCTTCAATGAATGGATGGATTCATTATACTATGACGTCACTAACAATATACATTACACTATTGTAGGCGATCAGTTGATTGTCACACATAATTTAGAACACTAAAGGCCAAGAAGGAAACATTTCAGGATGTATGGGAGATGAGGGACGGAAAAATTGGAGGGTTAGAAAAGATAAAATATGACATAGAGACATTCGGAAAAAAGAAGAGGAATTGAAAAACTTCATCATCTCACGTTGTGTTAAAGAGTTTATCATTTCAAGAAATTGTATTTCACCAAAGTACAGTACACGACATGTATATTACAAGGATAAAACAGGGCGTAAAGGTTACCAAACACGGTAAATATCATGTTATTAAGACAAGGATCCCAAACAGGGCGTGAAGGTTACCAAACAGGGTAAACATCACGGTATTAAGACAAGGATCCCAAAACAGAGCGTGAAGGTTACCAAACAGGGTAAACATCACGGTATTAAGACAAGGGTCAAACAGGGCGTGAATGTTACCAAACACGGTAAACATCACGGTATTAAGACAAGGGTCAAACAGGGCGTGAAGGTTACCAAACAGGGTAAACATCACGGTATTAAGACAAGGATCCCAAACAGAGCGTGAATGTTACCAAACACGGTAAACATCACGGTATTAAGACAAGGGTCAAACAGGGCGTGAAGGTTACCAAACAGGGTAAACATCACGGTATTAAGACAAGGGTCAAACAGGGCGTGAAGGTTACCAAACAGGGTAAACATCGCGGTATTAAGACAAGGATACCAAACAGAGCGTGAAGGTTACCAAAACGGTAAACATCACGGTATTAAGACAAGGGTCAAACAGGGCGTGAAGGTTCCCAAACACGGTAAACATCACGGTATTAAGACAAGGGTTAAACAGGGCGTGAATGTTACCAAACACGGTAAACATCACGGTATTAAGACAAGGATCAAACAGGGCGTGAAGGTTACCAGACAGGGTAAACATCACGGTATTAAGACAAGGATCTCAAACAGAGCGTGAAGGTTACCAAACACGGTAAACATCACGGTATTAAGACAAGGGTCAAACAGGGCGTGAAGGTTACCAAACAGGGTAAACATCGCGGTATTAAGACAAGGATCCCAAACAGAGCGTGATGGTTACCAAACACGGTAAACATCACGGTATTAAGACAAGGATCCCAAACAGGGCGTGAAGGTTACCAAACACGGTCAACATCACGGTATTAAGACAAGGGTCAAACAGGGCGTGAAGGTTACCAAACACGGTAAACATCACGGTATTAAGACAAGGATCCCAAACAGGGCGTGAAGGTTACCAAACAGGGTAAACATCACGGTATTAAGACAAGGATCCCAAACAGGGCGTGCAGGTTACCAAACAGGGTAAACATCACGGTATTAAGACAAGGGTCAAACAGGGCGTGAAGGTTACCAAACAGGGTAAACATCACGGTATTAAGACAAGGATCCCAAACAGGGCGTGAAGGTTACCAAACACGGTAAACATCACGGTATTAAGACAAGGATCCCACACAGGGCGTGAAGGTTACCAAACACGGTAAACATCACGGTATTAAGACAAGGATCCCAAACAGGGGTGAAGGTTATCAAACACGGTAAACATCACGGTATTGAGACAAGGATAAAACAAGGCGTGAAGGTTATCAAACACGGTAAACATCACGGTATTAAGACAAGGGTCAAACAGGGCGTGAAGGTTACCAAACACGGTAAACATCACGGTATTAAGACAAGGATCCCAAACAGGGCGTGAAGGTTACCAAACAGGGTAAACATCACGGTATTAAGACAAGGATCCCACACAGGGCGTGAAGGTTACCAAACACGGTCAACATCACGGTATTAAGACAAGGATCCCAAACAGGGCGTGAAGGTTACCAAACAGGGTAAACATCACGGTATTAAGACAAGGATCCCAAACAGGGCGTGCAGGTTACCAAACACGGTAAACATCACGGTATTAAGACAAGGATCCCACACAGGGGTGAAGGTTACCAAACACGGTAAACATCACGGTATTAAGACAAGGATCCCAAACAGGGGTGAATGTTATCAAACACGGTAAACATCACGGTATTGAGACAAGGATAAAACAGGGCGTGAAGGTTATCAAACACGGTAAACATCACGGTATTAAGACAAGGGTCAAACAGGGCGTGAAGGTTACCAAACACGGTAAACATCACGGTATTAAGACAAGGATCAAACAGGGCGTGAAGGTTACCAAACAGGGTAAACATCACGGTATTAAGACAAGGATCCCAAACAGAGCGTGAAGGTTATCAAACACGGTAAACATCACGGTATTAAGACAAGGATCCCAAACAGGGGTGAAGGTTACCAAACAGGGTAAACATCACGGTATTGAGACAAGGATCAAACAGGGCGTGAAGGTTACCAAACACGGTAAATATCACGGTATTAAGACAAGGATCCCAAACAGGGCGTGAAGGTAACCAAACACGGTAAATATCACGGTATTAAGACAAGGATCCCAAACAGGGGTAGGTTAAGACAAGGATTCCAAACACGGTAAACATCACGGTATTAAGACAAGGATCCCAAACAGGGGTGAAAGTTACCAAACAGGGTAAACATCACGGTATTGAGACAAGGATCAAACAGGGCATGAATGTTACCAAACACGGTAAACATCACGGTATTAAGACAAGGATCCCAAACAGGGGTGAAGGTTACCAAACACGGTAAACATCACGGTATTAAGACAAGGATCCCAAACAGAGCGTGAATGTTACCAAACACGGTAAACATCACGGTATTAAGACACGGATCCCAAACAGGGGTGAAGGTAACCAAACAGGGTAAACACCACGGTATTGAGACAAGGATCCCAAACAGGGGTGAAGGTTATCAAACACGGTAAACATCACGGTATTAAGACAAGGATCCCAAACAGGGGTGAAGGTTATCAAACACGGTAAATATCACGGTATTAAGACAAGGATGTCAAACAGAGCGTGGAGGTTACCAAACACGGTCAACATCACGGTATTAAGACAAGGATGTCAAACAGAGCGTGGAGGTTACCAAACACGGTCAACATCACGGTATTAAGACAAGGGTCAAAGAGGGCCTGAAGGTTACCAAACAGTGTAAATATCACGGTATTAAGACAAGGATCCCAAACAGTTACAAAGATATTTGTATATATTACATTCATTTGAAGTAATAACGTGTTTGAAATATTCATGTTTGAAAAACATCCACAAGTCTTATGTCTGTTCGATTAAGGTCTTTAAAACCTAGCTTTTTTTTTACTCTTTTTTTTTTCACAATTTTTAAAAAAAAAATCCATACGCTTCAACCACACGTT